TAGATGAATTTTTTATTTAAATGTTAAGCTTTCTTTAAAAACAAATACAATTTAATACAAGTCTTTATTAGGTATTTAAAGGGGACATCGGATGCCCATTTTCCACAAGTTGGTATGATTCTTTAGGGCCTTCATGAAATGTCTGTATCATACTTTGATTAAAATTCCTCTTGCATTACATTGCTAGGAGACCTATGACAAATCAAAACAATGCTTTTCAAAATATTAAACATGTCTGATATCCTCCAACTGGATGGAATCATAGTCTGAAACTAAAAATGAAATCAGAATGTGTGCGCATCACACACAACACTATTTTCTGTGAAATCTGTCAACTCTGTTTTCCCAAAATCTGCAGACTGGCTCTGACTTTTGGCAACAAGCGTCGACTCGTCCAGACAGCAAATCGGGGCAAAAATCTGGGCAAAAGCTGTGTGTGTAGTGTATTCCAGCCTTTATAATTTGCACAAAACGAGGCATCTTGAGCAACAACAGCCTTCGCATTGTGAGCATACCTATGATACCGTAAAATGATCCCTATGTAGGCAGCAAACAACAGACAAAAAGTACGTTCCTGCAACAGAAGGGAATATGTTTGTAACAAACTGTTACTGATTAACTGAAACGCTTTCATCGCAGGCAGGCGTCTGGTAAAATGCAGCGTATATGAAATGGCAGTCAGATGAAGAAATAACAGCCATTATGACAAGGAGCATTGAGCACAATTCACACATCAGTCACTGAGAAAGATGCCATTCAGCAAAAGATATAATTAGCTGGAATACACAGTGGCAGTATTGTATGAAATAACCTTTCCAAACAGGTCTGCTGAGGACCAGCGAGATCCCCGGGCTCTGGAACATGGTTTTTTTTTAATTAACTTTGTGTGTGAATGGTACGTGTACATGTTGAGGAACACACATTTTTGCATGTCTAAAGAAGCAGCTTCAAAATATACGAATCAAGGAGCCGACCGCAAAGAATGCATTGATGTTTTTGATTCTTAATCCATTCAAATGAGAGCACAAAGGTTTACTGTGCTGTGTAAAAGCAGAAGGATATGAGTCTTTGTTTAATCGGCTGAGTAAATAAATACGTTAAGCAGAACAAAGACTGAGGGGGAGCATTATCACACAGAATATGCATGTTCCTCTGCACCTGTGTGTGCGTCTGAGTGTTTAAAAGTGTTTACAATCCCTTATTATGCTGCTTCTGTAGAAATCTTTCTCTTGGAAAATGTAATGAAAAACATGAGCACTAGTAGTCACCACATTATGAAGAATTTTTTTTTTTCAAGGGGACATATTGCACTTTTTTTTATCATATTATTCTCTGCAAAACAGCCAAAATCAAATAGTCACAAGCAAAAAAAAAATTAGGAGTAAAATTGATGGAATTCTGCAGAATGGATATAAAAGTGGTATAATAAAAAAAAGTGGTATAATTGTTAAACGTACAAATGCACAAAAAGGCAAGAAACTTTCAAGATCTCTGTTTATGATGGCCATTTAAAATTAGCATGTTAACACTTTATTATAGTATTATTTAAATACTATTATAGTATTTAATACTATTTTGAATGAGCTCTTATTTTTAAATTAAATTTTAGTTTAAGTTTTAGTAATTGTGCTTTTGTATTTTTTATTTCTATTTTGCTATTTCTATTTAGCTTTAATTTTTAAAATTTAAAAATTTTAAGTTTTAGCAATTTTAGTATTTCAACTTACATTTTTATTTCAGTTAGTTGCCAAGGCAAGGCCTTGTTTTTTTAAACTTTTTAAGTTGTTCTTCTACTATTTATATGTTATCTTTGAGATTTATTTCAATTAAGGGAAACGAGTTATAGTCATAGTTGTAGTTTTTGTTAACTATAAAAACACTGGATTATAATTTATACATGAATTTATTCCACCCTCTCTGAACCTTAAAATTCATAACCATTTGCATTTCTATATAAAAATGACTCTTACTATGATTGGCTAAACTCACTTACCAACCATTTGTTACTATATACATGACTTCTATGTCACATCAATGAAGATTACATATTCAACCAGTTTTGAAGCTTAGTTTTGGGTACTTAATGCTATTTTTGTTTAAATGTTACATTAAACTCTTATTTCAAAAGTGCAAGGAAAATCCTGTTTCCCACGATATGCTGCCTTTAATTCTGGTGCCAAAATGGAGAAATGCAAGCATGCACTATGACTGAATGTGTATTACATCTCTCATAGCCATAAAAATCAATCACTGTAGAGAGCTTAAAATGTAAAATGTATGTTTCTTGGCATGTTCACCCTTTCTTTAGTGGATTTACTTGCACATAGCATTATTTACTGACGTTATACGTCTTTTAGATGATTCCAAACATCCAGACCACAACCAGCGGTCGTGCTGCACGAGAAACGTCTAAAAATACAAAAACGCAGGATAAATCTCCTGGCTAATTAACACAAAAGCCTGATTTTGAAGAGCTAAAATTCCAGCTAATTTAAGAGGAAGACTGTCCAGCTCATATCATAGAAAGCCTCTTGGTATTTGATGGGAAAAACACTGTGTATCGGGTGACCGGCAAGAGCGGTAAATGGGAAAGTGTGTAATTCCTCTGATTAGATTATATACCAAATTAAGAAGATGGGGATGCCTTTAGCATCCTGCAGACCACTTCCAGGACATATCAGAGGAAAGAAAAGGCCTGAAAAATAACATGTCAGCTTTTTCTGAAATCCATCTGAAATGTCATCCCCATATTCCACTACTAGAACAAAACCATTAGGCGATGGAAAGAAAAATGAGGAGGAGAAAAAAAATAACCCCTTAACCCGCATTAAACAGAGAGCAAGCCAGACCTGTTTTGCCTATATTGTAGATGACATACTAGTTCCCATAAGTACACTGGATCATTCCTTGCCATCAAAAACACTCAAGCACAGCATGAGGCAAGCCATCACCTCTCTAAACATAATGTTCATCTTGATCCCACTTTAGCGACCACAAAATGCACAAAAAAGCATTTGCGCAGCAATTTAAGACTTTAAAGGGGTCATATGATGTTGCTAAAAAGAACATTATCTCTTTGGAGTGTTACAAGCTCTTGGTGCATA